GTAGAACACGACATGCCTGGATCTCCCCCGCAGAGAGAGGCTCCCAGAAGATGTATGGCTGCAAAGAGCTACGGCAAAAGCCCCCTCAACCAAAACCTAAACTGGAAGTGGTGTTGGAGCAACACCGTGTGAACAGAGTGTCTGGTGTTGTCCGGTGTTGGAGCAGTTTTGTGCGTGTCCTGCCCCTCATATAAACTCTGCGAGCTTCTTTGTATGCAAAAGAAAAGGAACTCCTCGGAAGCCTGAGCCTGAAGCACAAAGCACGTCGGAGTACACCTGAGCAGCAAAAGCACGTCCGGGTGGGCAAACGGAGGGTCCGGACCCTTTTTTAAGTCTTGAAGCAACGATGCTCGATTCTGAAAGCATGTAACGTGCGCAGAGCATCGGTCTGAAGCTTTCTGCATGCTTCGCTGCGTTGGCTTCCAGGCAGACGACGACGAGATTGATGACTTGCTCGTCATGGTCAAGGGCAAGGGCAAGGCAGAGATAGAGAGAGAGAGAGAGAGAGAGAACGAGAGATAGAGATCTTCAGGAGCTCGACTCTCTTTTCATGGTCCTAGAAAGTTTTTCGGAAGCGAGCAAAGAAAGCATTGATTCGGACCCTGTGTCGCCTGTCTGAAACAGCTTCCTGGTGTTTTCAGGTTGGCGGTGCTAGCCGCAAGCGCAGGCGGGAAGTTCAAATGCCTTCAGGCAACATCGGGCTGGGTCTCGTGGCCAAAGTTCTTGCTCCACTCTCTCCCTTTGACGGACAGTGCCATTCTTGCTAAGGCGCTAGCCGTGCAACTCGAGACTGTCATGTGTCGTTGGAAACGAGTGAGTACAACTTACGGGCAAGGGATGTGACAGATCAGCCAAAGGTGTGGTTATTGTTTCTTCAGTAGCATCTTGACCGGACACAGGACTGCTCGACTGGATTGTGATCGCTGTGCTGAGGTTGGCACTCCTTCGATTTCCAGTGGGACGAGGGCAAGACCTGCAAAGTGACGGTTGTTCTCCAGCGCATCGGGCATCCGACAGGCGGCAGACGGGATCAGAACCGTCTGCTGTAGACAGGGCGTGCAGCATCCATACTTCAGGACCCAAAGCAGTCTCAGTGCGCTGCACGATTCACAGGTGATGGTCCGTCCTTTTTCTCATCCTTGGTTTTGTTTGTGGAGGGGACTGACCAGATGCCACTCCTCAAACTCTGTCAGAAGGCTTGGCCTGGAAGGTATGTGCCAGAAGCATGTGGCCAGAGTTGGTAGCTTTAGGGGGTGAGCTGTGTGCAGATGCGCTGCCTCGACAAAGGCAGCTGACAATGAAACCAAACAGAAAGCGAGCTGAACTCAGTCGATTGTTGCAGAGTAGATGTTGTGAGCCCGGTTGGCAATCCGCTGCCGTATTCGAGGAATCGGGTGTCGCTGTGGAGATTTGATACCAAGTATCACTTTTGGTCACGAATCTCCAGACGGATGGCGCGAAGTCTGGACAGCATCGTTCTAGAAGAAGGACTCCGTGGTGGTGTTAAAGCATAGAGTCACATAGAGCTTGATTCGGGTCTACAATATTCGATCTTGCCACTTCGCGACGAGGCGTGAAGCGACCGCTTCTGGATGACCTCGAGTGGTTTCTGAAAGATGAAACGCGGACGTTCTATGCCAAGCATGGAATCCCTTATCATCGCTGCTACCTGCTTCATGGTGAACCCGGTACTGGCAAGACATCTTTCATGAATTCCGTAGCTGGACATATTCAGCGCAACCTTTGCTTTATCCAGATGGACAAGCACATGACTGACGACACATTTAGTTGCTTGGCTTTGCAATTCTGGAAGCAGCGGGTGCGCTTGCAAGGTGCTACTTTAAGCAGTCAGATCTGGTACGTATCAGCGGATTTGGAGGGTTCTGCATGTCTTGAAACTTTCGCTTTCGGTACCATCTAGCAGCAGTGAATTTCACAGCTTGAAACAGCCGCGGAACCAATATTTTGAATGTCGACCCTGTGAGAGCGCAACCCTGCACCTTCAACTCGCAACAATCCGGCCGAAAATCTTCATGAAGCCCGTGTCCTGTGCGGCGAGGCCGATCGCCTAGGCCTGGAGAAGCTTTGCCGCGTTGACCTTACAACAACAATTCGGACAAAATGCGTTTTCAGCGTTTTCGCGACAGGGCGTGAGAGAAGGTTGCTTCTTGCAACTCACAGCCTACGCCAGATTGCAGCGGCAAGTGTCCGGGTCGGAGCAGGTCCAAATGAATACTGGCTGGAACTGACTTCCACACGTCAGAAGGTCCTAGAAGACGATGGTCGTTCGGCCTTCAGAGCACAAAATCAAAGACACTTGCCAACGGGCCGTCCGCATTCTCTGCTTTGAAGCATTTCAACTGCTTCGATGCTCAGAAGAATGCCGCCGTTGGGCACCCTATGAACACACGACATACTTTCGTACCATCCGGAAGTCAGAGGCAACAACCCAGGTCTCTGATGATTCAAGTCTTGCATCAGCCTGTGGTTTGCCACCAGGAAATGCCATGACGCAGTTGCCGGCTCTCTCCATGGTGGTTCTCGAAGATGTGGATGCCCTCTTCACAAACCACCGTGAAGCAGACCACAACAATTCATCTTTGCTTCTGGAAGCATTTACCATGCTCCCTTCAAGTATCCGAAGGGCCGTTGAGAGTTGAGAGAATCCTAGGTCTTTCAGTGGCTTCCTAAACTGCTTGGACGGGCTCGGGGCTCCGGACGATGTAGTGATCTTTATGACGACGAACCACCCGGACAAGCTGGTGCGGGCCCCGGTTCTTGTAAAATGATGTGCGATGCTTGGGTGTCCCCCTAAGGCAGGTCAGAGTACACTCCTTTGCAAACAAGCTGTCAGAAGATGTGTGTGTTTAGAGCTTAATTCACAGTTGTAGATCCTCTGATATGTTGATGTGCACCTGTCATCCTCAACCACAGTTGCGCACGCTGGGGCTTGGACCGGATTGTGGTTTGAGATGCCACGGGCCGAAAATGGCATTCGAAGATGCACAACATAGATGGCTCACCGGCATTTCATTTCACTTCCGCCCCATCGTCTCATCCGCTTCGTCAGTGGTATGTTTGACTTCAACCACCAGCACTATAACTTGTTTGTGACATTCGCCGATGCCCTCCTTCGCCAATTCGATGATCTGTGTAGCCGTGGCAGATCTCGAACACAGGGCGGCCCACGGCATGGCGCAGGGCTTTACAGCCAGGCATCGAAAATCAAACGGCGATGAGGGCACCCGCCATGTTCCGTGTAAAGGCGTGTGATCCGAGGCTCCCAGTGCTCTCACCTCGACTTTCTACTCCTGACTTCATGTTTGTCGGTCTTTGCCGACTGAGGACCCCGCTGTGATGCGGCCTGGTCGGATTGACTTGAAAGCGGAGTTTAAGAAGCCGAGCTTGGGAATGCAAAGATCTGCAGAGAACACATCTGATGCGTATATATGTATATATGAGCTCATATATATATGTATATATACATACATATGTCCATAATATGTCTGTGCGTGATCAGTCGAAATTGGTAGAACAACGAGCAGACAGTCGAGGAACAAGGACGTTGCTTCGAAATACTTCCTGACGTTCTACCCTGGCGCGGAAGATGCTGCCGCATCCTTCGGAACCTCAGTAGGCACCTTGCAACTCGAGTGGGGTCAAGCCGTGATGCTACATCCTCTGACAACTCAGCAGCCGATTGGAGCTTCAGCATGTCAGCCACATGATCCTGCGATAGGGTGAATCTGAATCAGCCGATGCAGGTGCGCGCATTGCAGAGAGGAAAGTGGCCTGGCCAAATTGGCTGTTGGGAGCTGTTGATGTTGGCGTTCAAAGTCCAAAAAGTCAGACGATCGCAGGTGTCCATGGCTCAGCTGCAGCACTTTTTCTTGGCCTGCCATCGACAAGGCTTCGATGCAGCCAAGGCCCAGACTGCTGAATAACACATAGAATCTTTACTTGATGGCTGACGCGTACCAGGCTGCAGAGTACATCAATGACTTCCTCTTTGATGAGCCACGCACGTCCATATTCTCTTCTTATGGCTAAAGCCGAGGAAGTCTACACGGTAGTTGGCTAATGTCGGCTGACTGTGCTGTCGGCTGGCTAAAGCGCCTCTGCCGTCATTGCTTGAGGGTCTGCCAGCCTTCAACGAGCGGCAAGGTGGTATCGGTGCAATGTCGTGAGAGTATGCTCGAGAGTCACGTGCCCGTGCATCAGAGGTGTGTCTGTGTGACACGGTTTCTCCCCAGCATCTCAGTGAGAACGTGGCGCCATCAGTCAAGCAGGGCCACGCTCCCGCGTCCGTCCTTGCTAGATGCATGGGAGGCGTAGCTAGGATATTCTGTTGCCAGGGAAGCGCATGAGTACAGTCGCCAACTGCTCTGGTTCTTCGATCCGAAAAGCTGCGCATTCCGGTGATTACCGGCATATCGGACGTGAAGTCTCAAGTGCAAGCGGCTGTCGTCAGGAAGGCGGAGAAGGCAAGCTGAAAGAGCGCGTGGGCAACCTGCGGAGCAAGGTGCGGGAGCGCCTGCAGAAGTCGGAGGCCTGACCTGTGCTGATCTGCTTCGGGACCTCGGGTCTCGTGTCTCGGAGGACGAGATGTTGCGCTTGTCCTCGCGGATGGACAGGCGCTTAACGACTGCTAGACCAAGACCAACAAAGTAAGGGTACTATCTATGCCACTCGAAATGATCCCTTTCCCTCAGCTTCCTTCCTAGGGAAAGATCAGCTCGTGACTCGATTTGGCCGGCTTGTCTTGCTGGTGGCCGCAGATGGATCTAACACGCTGCTAATGTGAAAGAACACCGGACTAGCAGAATTTATTCAAGGGCAACTCAGGTGCATTGGCACGTACAGCGAACTTGATATTATGTGCGCCTTTCTGGTGCACTGACGGCTTCTTCTTGACATGATATTGCCCAAACAGCACTCTGTACTCGTTCAGAAAGCTCGAACCGCAGTCTGAGAAATGCCATCCTGCCGAAGTTAGCGTAGGTGGCCGTTATCGGCTGCAAGTGCAAAGTCTGGTACTACAAACTAACACTAGCAGCACCTGTCCAGGATGCTGAAGCAGACGGAGGCAAGGAACGGAGATCCGCGCATGCGTGGATAAGAATGAGCATCATAGATCAGCTTTGACGAAAGGCTGCCATCCGACGAATCAAAACAGGTCAGCCGGCAGGCGCTGCTTTTGGTCAGGTGTTAGGGGACACTGTCTCAACTTCCGCAGCTGGCGGTGCATTGCACTCTGATTTCTGAGTTTCAACTTTAATGCTAAAGACTCTGATGACGGGTCTCGTTTGCAAGGAGGGCGTGGTCTGTGCAAAGTGTTCCCGGAGGGGGTGCCTATCATGTTGAAATCCTTAATCTGGAAAGGCTCTGGCCAAGCAGACGCCAAGGCACGTCTTGAGTCTTGAGCTTTCTACTCTCGCGTCACTGGATCCAATCAGGATGACTTGGCAAAGTCGCGGAGCCGGAGGCGAGATGGTGAGAAGAAGGCTGGAAGAGCAGAGGAGATTCAGACCAAATGAATTTTCTCTCTACTGCTGTACAACGACCGAATTGCTGGGCCACACGATTCGAGGAGAAAGACAGCAAAGAGCTCAAAGAGCTCAAAGATAGGAAGGAGATGGAAACGTGCTTTTTTGTTCCAATGTGCATTTTCGCTTGTTTCGTCAACACTGGTTGAGCACAAGTTGTGTTTCCTGTTCATATGGAGCTGACGTCACCTGCAGGAGCCACGCGAAAAGAGGGAGAAGCGGGAGCACAAGGAACCCAGGGAACATAGAGATCGTGAACACCACAAGGAGCATGGGCCAGCATGGGTGTTTTGCCAAGGGTGGTAGCAAGGTCATTTCGGTGTTGCTGGCCGTGGTTGCCTTAACTAAGCTGGCTAACAGACTGACAGCAGCAGCTGTAGTACAAGAAGCAGATATCGTGTCGCTTTGTGTCGAGTCTACATTGTCGGACACTCCGTCGGTTTCGTGACAGCTCCTAGGTTCGCTTCAGGAGGGCCTGTGTTGTGTTCCCGCGTGTGTTTGAGGGGTGGTCGCGAAACTGAAAGTCATTAATGGGATGCTTGTATTGATGCGGAACTCAATACAACCATGACTGCTCAATCCTGCGCTCCATGAGCTCAACAGGAGCGGCGAGAAAGGGGCAAGAAACGGGGCGAGGAAGAGGACGGCACTGCACGGGGACGGGGGAGACATTTGTTCATCAGTGGCGAAAGCCCTGAAGGATGCCGATGAAGCGGACGCTTGAAATAGTCGGACTGGCAGCTTTTCACAAATTAGTGTAGCTTTTCTGAAGTGTATGGAGCTTGTGAACAGCATGCTCTCTACCAGTAGTTAATGCAGCTGGCGAGCAGACCTTGTCGCCAAGGGCTCGCCTATGAGCCTTTTGTCGGAGACCATGGTTGTATCGAGCCATGTGGCCCATGGTCTGCAAAGCATTTCCAGCAATCACTGCCTGCGAAGCGTGGTTGTGAGGCAGCAACGTGGGCTTCCCATGTTGTGTGTGCATAGGGGCGCTGCAGAAGCAAATGCGCATGCTCCGCGAAGCGGATCGTGCACTACTTGCAGACGGTCGCATGCTTTAGCGGGTGAGTTGCTCCGGCAAATCCCAACAAAGCTATGCTTGCGGAGGAACTTTCCATCCTTGGAGCACTTGGGCAGTCGTGGTACTTCATTGCTCTCGCAGCGTTCGGCTCCAGCTCGGGGGAGGGCAGAGCAGACGTCGTCATGCCGCGGCGCAGTGACTCCAGGCTCGACTCTAACAATGACTCGCCGCTCCGTGGCTCTCTGCCTCTGCCCCTTTGAGAAGGAGCGACTCTCGACCGCGACGGGGATCAGGCGCCCCTGACACAATGTGACTTCCAATCTCCGGCAGTGACTGCGTTTTGAGTCTTCTGCAAGTGAGATGATACCACCAAGCCTGTGCAAAACAAGGCCGTGGCCGGTCGCGTTCAGCAAAACGCAGCAGACGCGATGATAGCAGGGACAGGTGCTGCCAGCAGGGGCTCCACTTTATGCTTCCTACAATCTAGCATTTAAATGTGAACGGCTGTGTTGTGGTGTGCAGGGGGCGTCGTGGTGGCAGAAGCAGGTCAGATGGTACCCGGCCCAGCACTTTCTCCACACTGGGGTACGTGAGATGTGATGCGCTACGGAAGGTGGACGTCCGGGCGAGGCCCTTTCTGAATGGGGCACCTCAGGAGTCATCGTGGATCTCAAGGCAGGCTTGGGATGTTTCAGCACGTCCCTGCGATCCCACTTTTGCTGCCAGGGATCCGGCTTTGGCTTCATTCGGCCAGATACTGGCAAGGTTAACGACAAGGACGCCAGTGAGCTGCCCTGATAGTCTGATCGCGAGCTTTCAGACCTTGCCGCAAGAACCGTTTCATGGGGCACGGTCAAACAGGACCTTTACTTCCACTGCACGGCGGTGAACAAATCTGTTCCGTTCGACGAGCTGAGGGTCAATGACGAAGTCAATTATGAGGCATGTTGCTTCCGGCTTCGTGTTTTCTCGTTGGATCCATGAAGGTAGGGATTGTCGGATTGCCATGCAGTGGCCTGGCAGGGATCACGAGTAGCATGAAGACACCGGCGAACATGTTGCCCGCAACATCTAGCAAGCATCTGTACCAGAACCTTCCATGGCTTTTCACGAAAAGCCTGGCAGTTTTGTGATGCCAGGCAGTCCGAGATGATCGGAAGGGCCATCCAACAGCGTGACTTGGCTGAATCCAAGGCTCTAGGCTGGTACTGTCAAATCAGAATCTGCTTTGAAATGCAGAGGGACAGAGGCAGCGTGTCAAGCACAGCCGAGGAAAAATGTGACTCTGAAGAATGGTGGCAGTAGCAGTAAGAGAAAAGACTCGCGTTCAACTTCGCGACGTCGTTAGGGTCCTTGTGGTTTCTGATCTCAGCAGATGGGTTCGGGCACTGTCTCAGAACCTGGCTCCCCTAGGGGTGAGTGCAGCACCTACTGCCTCAAGTGTCCTACGCAAGCATCAAGCTGTTGTGTGCTGCGGTGCAGATTTTGCAGATTTAAGCCTTAAGCAGCTTTTCTGCTGCAAGTTTGCTGGAGGCCCCATCGGCCTTCCATAAAGCCTTAAGCGAGGGAGTATCTGTTATCAGTACGCCGTGGCTGCAGCACCTTCGGCCTGAAGCCAAGACACCCAACAGTGACTTGGAACGTCATTGTGTCTTGCGAAGGCGCTCAAGCATATGTTATCGGGCATCACGGCAGGTGATGCTCGAATTTTGCTCCATCACATATTTCTAGGTTCTAGTTGGTGCGATGTACCGAGCATAAACCCGGTGACTTGAGACATATTTTCTGGGTGGAGAGCAATGCAACCCGGACGAAGAGCCTTCGCCCAAATCTTGCCATGCCCCTCGAAGGCTGGACAGGACATCTGCATGGTCCGAAGGCTGATGATAGATGATGATCGTGTACAACATCAGCTACAGTAGCACTCGCAAATAACTGCTTCAGAATGTGTTGACGCAGTGTAGCGTGTGCCATCCGATGTAGAAAGAAGACGCAGCCAGCTGCAATCTCCAGTCATGCCAGCGCGAATGAGCTTAATCAAGCGGTGGAAAAAAGAGGTGCAAGTAGTCGCGCTTTAGGATGATATTGCCACCAAGATCGCAATGCTGTGGCATCAGAGCAACAGCAATTTGTCTATTGCCGGGATGTGATCGTGTGGAGCAGGCAAGTGAGATCTGTTTCTCGATCTTCTTTGTCTTGGATCCAGGGTGTTCAAGATTTCCTGCGCTTGACCCCATGATGCCCTGTCTGGCGCTGCTGATGCTGCATGGAGGCCGTATAGAAATATCAGGACAAGTTCTGAGGATTTCTGTCTGGAGGTGTATTCCTGGGGAAGCGGCAACTATGGCCGACTGGGGCTCGGAAGTGGAGCTGCCTGGCCCTGAGAAGCACCGAACGTCAGGAGAAATCGTGAGACTGCGAGAAACAAAGCCGGCCGGCTCAGGACGCCGCGCGACCGCAGTTGGTCAGTGGCGTGCTCAACGGTGCGCCAGAGGGATCTTCAGTTGGACTTTGGCACTTGTCCACCGCCATGCCCAGTCTGCGGCACGATAAGCGAGCATGCTGCCAGGCTACGAAGTGGTGGGCTCTGCCTGCAGCTGGCGCGGCTTCGTTCATGCATCATTTCAGCGCCGGCGATGCACGTCTCAGCATTCCGCCAGGTACCATTCTGCAGTTGTTACTTCGACTGGAGATGTGGCCACATTTGGATCAAAGATCTCCAAATGCCTGGACCTCAGCAGGCCGTTCAAAACCCTCTGCTTTTTCAGGGGCTTCGCAGAATCGCCCGACACAGACCTCTTTGCGCCTGTGGAGTGAGATGTACATCTGTCTCATCGCCATCCGTTATGTACCTTTGACGAATTGACTGTGCACCCATGGGTCTTTTTACGGCAATTGTGTCAGCCCCGGAGAGCTGAGCCGGGCTCGTTGCTGCAGATGTCAGAGCCATTTCGCTATGGCTTCTACGGAATCCGAGCCGAGGATGAGCTGGAGGAGCGGTTTTGCAGCGGTTATTTTGAGACTTCCGGTGTGCGGCTGGGCTCGCCAACATATCATTGCTGTGCTCATGGCACGTTTGATTTGGGGTTTGGGTCTCCTGATGTCTCCGTGTGCGTCGGGACTTGTGAAGGCGTCCATCCCGAGAGTAGGCTAGGAATGGTCCTCGTGAAGCATAGCCTCGGATCTCGATTTCCTTTGCGGCTCCGACGTGGGGTCGGTTTGCAAATCTCGATGGTGTTCCCAAAGCGCAAGCCGGGCAATGTTCAACCGGCCAGAGCTCAGCGGCGGCGTTATTAAGCCTGGGTATGCCCGTGTGTTGCACTGGCATGTCCTCCAGTGACGTGATCTTCCCTGGGGTGGCACCATCTTATCCGCGCGGTGTGTGACTGACTACCAACACGCAACCGGCGCTGCTGCGTAAGCAGTCGATTTGCTACGAGTGACATGTCTCTTGGTGAAGCGTACATGCATGTCCATCTTCTATTCTTCGCACAGCAGGCAGATAGGCAGTGTCATTCATTGCTGGAGCAAGGAAGAATATATCTCGTGTGCATGCATGCGCATTGAAGGGCCGCTTCAAGGCTCTGTGATCTATGCATTGTTCGATGTCAAGAAGGCGCTGTGAGAACTCAAACAAACTCGTTCTGCATCACCTAGGCCTTGGCACGGCGGCAAGCGGTAGCGACGTGTCAGATGGGGCTGCAGCATCCGACCACTCGTTTCTCGCTCAGAGTCGGGGAAATCACTGGTGGCAGTTCCGATGCCATTTCCTGTGGCACACATGGCCTAGCCAGGTTGCAAGGACTTGATAGCGAGGGGGAAGACGAGATTGCATCTGTGGGACTGAAGGCACGCCCCGTTTGCAAGAGTGGTTTAAGCAGACTTTCAGAGAGCAAGAGGGCTTTGCAGGCCATGCCTCGTGCACGCAGAGGCGTGTCGTGGGTAGTCCGGGTCTTCACTGCTATCGTCATGGCCTGAGCAGGTGACCGACGCTCGCGGGACCCGCTCCATTCCAAAGGAGATGAGAGGATCAACGCCTGAACCGTGCCAGGGTTCCTATTGCCAGGAATCGGCCGCAGCACCAGCGACTTCGTCCCACACCTCCTCAGGTCATTTCCGTCCAGGGTTAACGTTGTTCAGGCCCCGTCCTCACACGAGGGACTCGTACTGCCAAGCTCGCCTGGCGTGGTTGTATCGAGGTGGCAGTGGGCAGCGACATGCTTGGTGCCCATACACTGGCTGTTTCCAGAAACGGCCGATTGTACAGCGGGGTGCCCAGCACGGCAGGCTTCAGTAGGGTTTAGGGCCACAGCATGAATGTTTTGGGTCAGAGGTTGGGGCTATGGCCCCGCCTGTGGCCTCGGCAGCACTGCCAACGCACCCCTGGCTGGGTTTCGAAGCGGTCTTGAGACTTGACTTGGTGAATGCCAGGGGCAGAACGTTCAGTCCGCTAGTCACATTGCACAGGTCAGCACGCCGACTTTGGTTACCAAGTTCCTCGGCACAGGTGCAGGTGGGCTGGACGAAGGGACGTCGCGAAATAGGCGTGCCCGCTGACAGACCCTTGAGGCGAGGGTGGCAGTGGCCGCATGAGAAAGCAGGAGATGGAACCACTGGGCCAGGGTCCTCTGGAGAGACAGTGCTTTGCGTGTGAGTGCAGTTTGAGACATAACGGCGGCAAACACAACCACTGACCCGCTGCCAGAGGCTGGGGGAAGCACTCCCATCTACGGTATCGACAAAGACCGTCGAACAAGCCAGACACCGAGACAACCAGTGTGCATGCTTCACTTAGTGTGGCCGGAGTTGGACAGAGGAACCGTGCTCTGCTTGCAGGGTTTGACATTCGCTCAGGCATTTGGGGCTGCAATTGCTCAGGCTGGAGCGCACTCCTACACATCGCTAAACTGTCTAGATGCACGAAGAGTTTGTTTCGTCTGAATGCGGCGGGCATTGCTCTTTGTTGAATCCGCAGGCCAAAAATCGCGAAAGCTAGTTGTGGCGGAGGTTTCAGTGTCGTCATGAGCACGGAGGGTGAGGCGTGCAGCAACAGTTATCTTGTATTGATGTATGGTTGTTTAAGATCATTGCCAGTGTGATGCAGGTGTTCACCTTTGGAGTCAGTGCCAGCGGCCGACTGGGATTTCGAACAAAGTTTCGAGCGCAGCCAGACACCGAGACAGATATCAGCGTGCACGTTTGCGGGTGTTTTCATTTTGCGTGGTCGGAGTTGGACAGCGAAAATGAGCTCCGCTTCTAGGGATTCTAGGGTTTGACATTCGCTCAGGCTCCGCCCGCGTCGTATTGAGACTCTGGCGGAGGGCACGTCGACAGCTAAGCTCCTGCCAAGTCTCCCTGGGCAGAGTCAAGGAGTATGCCTTAGGATCGACATTGCGGCTGGTGCAGCCTTCGTCCTCCTCTGCTCCGCTGCGGGGAAGTCGGGATCCAGGGATCCTTAGCAGCGGACATCGCATGCTGGTAGCTCTCATCGGCACATGTGAGGCTGCTGTCTTGGGGTGACAACAGCAAGGGGCAGCTTGGAGTGGGACACCTGCAGGAATCGCATGAGCCGCTGGAGCCTGAGATCTGCAGCGAGATGCAATGAGATGCAGTGGCTGAGTCGAGGGCTTCAGGGGGAAAGGGAGAAAGGGCTGGGCGCGGAGGTTAACACTGAGTCGCGCCTGTCCGGCGGCATTCGTCATGCAGGCGCACTTTTGGGAGGTCTGTCCCGGAGACTGTGAAGTTGGACTTTCTGGATTGTTGCGCAGGCTGTTGCCGCTGGAGACTCACATTCGCTTGCTCTCGATTCCGCTGGGCCAGAACCCCAGAGCTGCATCAGCTCATGCTCCCAGCTCTCAGATTTCGTGGCGACTCGTGGCCGTGAGGGTTCTGCTTTGTTCAGGAGAGCTTATAGCTGGGGCGGCGAGGGTGGTCCTATGACAGGACAAGGCACAGCTGTCCGTCCGCCGCTTCGAGATGCTGACAGCATTGTTTTAAAGGGTGCTGTGGATGCAAGGCCAACCGGTTCCAAACTCGACACAAGTGGATGCGGCATTCCAGTCGACATCTTGGACTCAAGACTTGTCTTATTCACGCATGTATGCTATTTCGGGGCACAGGTTCCGACTGCGGCAGTTGTCTCACTGGTGGGTGAGGCGAGTGCCACAGCAAATGCTTGCCAACAAACTTTAGAAAAGCGCTTGACGCTGATGGAAGGCCGTACCCCATTCGAGCACTGGTTGGCATCCGCATCGTGCACGTGGATGCGGGCTGCCTCCATTCCTTGGCATTGTCGCAGGCGCCAAGATTTTTTTCACGAGTTTCAGTGATCGCGATCCCCACCAGTAGTCCTCGGCAGGACGGGGCTGTGTATGCCTGGGGCGCTCCACTTCAGGCAAGGTACTTCTAGGCGTTCCTCGTTCTTCCCTTTGCTACGCCTACCACGGAAGGCTGGTACCTCCCAGAACAACAGCACTCTGAAGGGCACACGTTCGCAGGCCTCGCAGCCTGTTGCGCCGGGGCACTCCATGCGTCACTGCCAGTCATAGGTGTCTTGGATTCCGCGGCTCGTCGCCCCGAGCCCGAAGCTTCCGCTGGTGCGTGTGGGAGCCGTGGCAGCTGGAGGCTTGACGCCCAGCGCTGTGTAAGGTAGTGCAGTGAAAGATTTCGCCTCGGCGCACTGCCTAGACGTGTTCAGGTTGGCATTCGATTGCCACGGCCACACCTGCCAGTCCGTCGGCCTGTCTGTGTTTTCACGTCGGAGCAGTCCGTTATGCGACAAAGAAAGATCAAACACATGTGGCAGGCTGGACAGGCTGCTTCCAGCTGACTGGTCTCAGGACGATGAGTTTCCCTTGAAGAGTTTGAGGGCTATTTTGGATGGGTTGTTTTTTTCTGTGGAGGAGAGAGACGAGGACGGCGTCGCCACGAACCAGGCAACAAATGCTCTCGAGCGGCTTCGTGCGTGGCAAGTGTGCGGTTTGGCTCCTTCGTGCAGGCGACATCCCTGGTGGACTTCTGTGACGGCTTTCTTGTCTCGGAGAAAGACTCCACCCCGGAGGACGCCGAGACTGGCATCGAGTGCTTGCACGGGGTAACTTGCTCCAGTACTGTAGTGCAGGAAGAGGCACGAATACCTGTATGCTGCACTTCAATTCGTGCTCGACTGGTCGCGCAGACGAGTTTCAACGTCGTGCTTGAGCAGGTTTGCTCCAACCTGGACACATTGCAGCTTGCCCCGCCAGGCGATGCCGGATGGCACGGACTCTCCTGTGTGGCGTGCATTGTCGGCGCAGGCGTTGGAGCTTTTGGAGAACATAGCATGATGGAGTGGGGGGACATTCCGAAACAAGTTACATCTCTGCTGTATATACATTGTCCAGGTGGTCCGTCTTCGCCCCGAGTCCATTGCCATCTTTAGCCCAGAGGCGAAAAGCTGTCGGTCCAAGCCACAGAAACGGAAATAGCACCTGTGCCCAGAGGCTGCAGAGAGAGAGGAAGAGGACAGCCCGTCTCTGAAGTATTCTGAAGTCTTACCGTGTCCAAACGCGGCTAGCAGGCTAGCATCCATTCATGCAGGATACGGGCAGCGAGTCGGGCGGATTGCTCGAACTTGTGGAAATGCATCGGTCACGCCAGAGGCACACTGGACTCAGCCATCCTAACACGGCAGCCTGGTCGTCAGCTGCTTACAATGCGATCGTTTTCCATGATGTCAAGGAGCGTGGCCCAAAGAAAGCATCCAACGTCACGGACTCAGATGATGATGGTCATGAATCAGGGTTATGATGATCCTTCCATCCGGCACGGGATCCAATTCAGCGTTTGTCTTTGTGCTTCGTGTCTCCAGGACTGCCCAAAACAGTGATGCCGACGAAGCGGCTGGGTTGGTCTCACTCTCAGCAGCGTGCCTTGTTGTTGGGACATGGCTCGAGGAATTGCATGATCCGGGCTTTGCAGGCGCTGAATCCTCTGCCTACGGGGGCTCTGCAGAAACCCAAGGCTGCATCCTCAAGACATCTGAAAGCAAATGTGACCAATGTGTTCACTATTCTTCCGCAGCACCAGCAACACCCTGGCTGCCTCAAGGTCAAGACCGGGGCCTCGAGGCTCGATCACATCCAGCACTAGCTGATTGAAGTGCAGCGTGGTATTGCTAGAGGGGATGCAGCTCGGTGCATTTGCCAGGAAAAAGCCAGTTCCAACATTCAGCTCGGATTCTGACTCAGGCCCTTGCCAGAGAAGCAAGTATGATCCCGATGTGTAAAGCCGCTGTCACCGTCAACCAAATGCCAGGCAACGGTGGTGTTGCGAGAAGAGAATTGCGAAGCAAGATGGCGGTTCGGACCTTAGCATTGAAATCCAGGTTCTCCAGCCGACATTCTGCAACAACTCAGCTTAGGCTTCACGGCCTGCTCCACAAGTGTCAGTGCCAAAGCGAACAGTTCCGGATTTCAGCTCCGATGACAGTGCGTCTGAAGAGGATCTTGCAGAACAGCTTTTTCTGCAAGCGTGTCTGCTTTTCTTCCGGTTCCTTCTTGCCGCCAGGAGCTACTACCCGATGATGTAGTCACAGCTGCGCGGAGTCCTCCTGCGCGCTCGGATGCAGGGTGCTGAGCTACCTCCCTTCCATATGTCGAAAATTTCTGGCCACTACAAGTATGAGCGGCTTTTACTTGCCAGGCTACGTCTGCATACGGATCGCCTGCAGCAAGCGCTGCAGCGCGATCGCGTCAGCCTGTCGTGGGCCATCAGGTGCAGCTCTGTCTTAGACTCTGCGCAAATACAAGCTGATGGCAGCCTGCTGACAGGGGCCCGCTTCATCAACGCTTAGCGGCTTGGAGCTACGAAGCTTTGGTGAAGCAGTCTTAGCAGCGTCCGTGCCTCTGTTCCCTCCTTTAAGTCCCTTATGAAGATCCAAACTGCACGGTGCTGTGCTACGAGGCTCGTTCGTTATTTTTGTACGAACACGTCCGAGCCTGAGTCCATTCAAAGTCCTAACTTTCCACAGGTAGACTATACAGTTCTGCCTGGAATCGTAGCTGATTTCGATCTGCCGGTATAAACTAGTCGAACCAGCGACCACGCTGGGAAAGCCTTGTTCATGTGTGAGACTGCAGGCTTCGCAACATCGAAGTTATTGATGAGCCTCTTCCTGACGTTTTCTGCAGCGGCATGTGCAGAGTGAGAAGACGAATGACCCTTGTCGCGCGCATCTCGAGTCTCGAGGTCTCACCCAGCATGGCAGAGGGAGCAGCAGCTTCGGTTGCGGCAACATGGGTCCAACCCCGAGGCGCTTCTGCGGCGGCCTGCTCACCCAGCCTCCCACCTGCCCACCCGCCATAAGCCTTAAATCATCTCCTGAGTCTCCTGTCACACAAGCTGGCAGGCTGCAGAGGAGTCTCTGCGCCCAACGCGTTTGCGAGCGGTGGCCCAGACATGTTCTTAAAACGCACAGAGCAGTGAAGGTAGTCAGGCGAGTCGAACATGCGACAGGCACGCGGGCTGCTTTTGCGGCAGGAGGCCGTCATTGGTCTGCTTTCAACATCGCCCATCTGATTGGTCTTGAGCTACAGCTATCGGGAGGTGCGTGACTTGCGGCACATCGGTGTCTGCTTGGGCATAGAGCGCCTGGCGCGGCTCTGTGATCAGTGCGAGCCCTGGACGTCGACTCTATCCGAGTTTCTGCGTGCATTGCTCATGGTGCCAGCGGGCTATTTCTCGGTTTCTGCAGGCTGCTGCTGCGCATGGACGCGCCGGGTGCACCGGCCCTTTTTGTGCCGGCTTCTTCCATTGGGACGGCGATGTCGGGGCCTGGCACGACGAGAACTTCGTTTCAGCAGCCTTCTGTGTACGAGCTAATTAGGTGGACACTGCTGCAGCAAACCCTGCGGCCTCCAGATCGCGATGGCCCAGACACAGACCTCTTGTGCGCGCCACCCGGGTCTCGAGCTTACGTCGAAAACCAACACCACCAGCGCCTGGGCGCCAAAAGTGGGGACCGCTGGAGTCGCTGGACGGAGGCCGCGCAAGCATCATTGGGGCCCTCGATGGCTGCCTGCAGATGGGCACCTGCAAGCCCATGCGTTCGTGGCTGGCCAAGACGTGGAAACCCTCCTCTTGCAAGTCTCCTAACTCGGTGCCTGAGGTTCTCTGCGCTGGCTGCTGCAATCTGCACACGGAGCAGAGGCCAGAAGTCCCAGATCGATCGAGGTTTCTGGAAATGGGATACACTTCAAGTCAGGTCGGCTGATGGACCCGCAGAGCTCGCAGGAGGTGGTCGGCCGCAGCCACAGTGCTTGGCACGTCTCAGATGTCGGGCAAGTTCGACACATGGCTTTGCTTTCTGTCCAGGCTTGGCCAACGAGCATCCGACACCTCTGACACCATGCCGAAACTTCGACTGCGCCGGAGGGACGGAGGAGGTCGCAGAGTTCAGACAAAGCTTCAGACGCTAGTTCATGTATGACTGTATGGAGTTTTGATACGTTGTGTCGAGGTGGAGGTGCACCGACTTATGAGTTGGACCTGCAAGAGTATCCGGCAGATGTCGTCTTTGCTTGGCTGCGGTACCTGTACACCCAGGCGAAATTGGTTTCTGCTTCCCTTCGGTGGCGTGGCACAAATGCGATTCGTGCCGTGCCCCAGGATGACTTGGAGCTCACTTGGCCCCTTCGGCACAATCGTCGAAACAGGGAGGAGGAGGCCCTGAAAGTGTCTACACCTCCGAGTTGTCTCTGTCAATGGGTGCCTTTGTTGCAGGCACCGCCCGAGATGTGGTGGATGCAGCTGCTGCACCTGGGGCGCCTGGTCGGAGACTGGAAGCTCCAAGTCTACGCGCAGGAGACACTTTGGATAAACTTCTGTCAGCAACGAAAAGCAAATATGAAATGAGGTGTACTGTTTTCCACGGTTGAGGTTCAGACTAGACTAGTGACTAGACTGCATGGACGGAAGTAAAGAGGCAGGGCCTCGACATAGCCAGCGAACATAGTCTTTGCTAGACTCTCCCTAAACCCTTCTCCATCGAAAGATGCCGATATATTCTCCTGACAGTTTGTTTGATTCTGAGCCTGTGCCGTGCTATGGCAGAGACAACGATCACGATATGGAGTTCTGCCAGGTTGTTGCAGAAGGTTTCCCATCGCTCTGCGCGTCTTGGACCGTGTTGCCTGGAGATCGGGTGGCCTTGGCTGGCCCATCAGGGTGTGGCAAGAGCCTGCAATTGGACATCATTGCCAAGAAGGCCTTGATCGCCTCCGGGCACATCACCTTTGCGCCGGCGGTCCGGCGCCTGGCTCTCTGCCGCAGAGGCCTCCAAGCTCGAGCCACTGCAGGAGATGTGCGAACCGTCCGAGAGTGGCTCCTTGAGGATCGAGAGCTTTCAGAGTGTTCCCTGGTTGAGGTCACTGAGAGTCCGGAGGAGCAAGAGCCGGAGAGATGGCTGCAGCGCCTGGGCGTCGCCGGCTTGTCGGACTGTGCGCTCAGCGATTTATCGGCCACGGACGCGGTGAAAGTTGGAATTACCCGCCTGGCCATGTGGCATCCGAACGTTTTGTTGCTGGATGATGTGACTGATGACTTGAGCGGAGAAGCTTGCGAGTGCCTGGAGGCTTGCTTGACAGCAGATCCACCAATTTTCGAAACAATCCTCGTTGCCTCCCGCGACCGTACTTTCATGGACAACGTGTGCAACAAAGTCATTGCCATTCATGCAGGTGCGACGAGGGTTCTGAACGGCATCTACACCAAAGCATACTTAGCCGGCGGGGACTTCCTTCATTTTCGCCGATTTAGCTTGTGGCAGCCAAAGTCATCAGGACTTCGGGCTACGCAGGCTGCTTGTGCTTTTGCTTCGTTGATAAGCCGCTCTCTCTGCGGCGAAAACACCTCTGACCTCACGGGACTGACACTCGTTGATGTTGGAACTGGAACAGGGGTCCTTGCGTTGATCCTGGCTCAAGAGTGGGAAAAGGCGAGGGGCAGTTTGAACCACCTGCGGCTACATATCTATGCGCTGGACATCGATGAGACTGCCGTGCGCATTGCCGCGGCCAATTTCTCAGCGTCCCCATGGGCAGCGAACATGTGCCCACCCTTCTACAGCTCTCTGGAGCGCTGGCAGATGGACCAGATTGCCACGCAAGAGCACCCGATTGTCTTCGTTTGTAATCCGCCTTATGACGACGAGATCCTCAATGCACGTACAGGAACTGACAACGAGAAACTGTCTCGAAGACGGGCCCTGGAGCGCAGCTTTCTGCCACTGCATGTGCTATGCAGTACTGCTCTGCGACTTGGCTGTCGGTCGCTGTGGATTCTGTGGGGAAATGCAGAAGATGCCTGGCTGTAGGTTGTAACGTGTTCACTCTTCTTGTTTCTGCTCTGCCTTTGTGTGGATTCCTGGGCCTTCGAAACAAGGATGCACCCGTGCTGGAGGCTGCTTCACATACCGGATGGCGGGTCATTCAGCAGGTAAGATTCCAACGCAGCGTCCATGCAACCGGGCCCTTTGCAACAGCGTGGCAACTGTGCTCTCACTCGGACTTCTGTGCCAAAGGAGCACCTGCCTCGGAGACGGTTTTCTGGTATGACATTAGCGGAGCTCCGTCTGATGCATGGTGGGAACTTGTAGGTGCATTGTACTATTGGCGGCTGCGAAAAATGAAGCGGGTAGTGCTTCGTGCAGTGCTAGATCTCCACCCGCAAGCTGTTTGCGCTGATCTGCGCGGGGTAATTGGGTTATGTGCGCTTGAGACTCGGGTCTGGGGTCGCGACCTTCCCTTCGGGGATCCAGCCGGCAGGACACGCTCGTGGGAGCGCTTACAGTCCACAATTGGGCGGAAATGGCAGCGTTTGCTGAGCAGGTGGTCCAGTAGACTCAGTAGACTCTATGAGTGGCTGTAAAAAACGTTCCTGGGAAGGTCCAATGCACCGTGCTCCTGGAAGCCGCCCTGATGTTGGGACTGCGACAGCTCCTGCCGCATTTGCTGGCCAGCCTCCTGGTCGATCGGAACCATACAGAGACGGAAGGGTTCAAGCTTCAGCACATGACTTAGAATAGATGATTTATTTAGTCTTTACCTTGCCCAGGCATCGTTTGCGGTCCCAACGGGTTTGGAGGGCCCTGATCGCAAGGCCTGGTGGCGTGTGCGTTTCGTTCTTTTCTGTGCGGGCCGGGGTGTGAGCAAATGGTCGAGGTGCCGGAGCAAGGGGACACCCTGCAGCCCGAGCAGGTTCTTGTCAGAACCTTCGCCAGCATATCGAATGCTCGCGCTACCTGGCAGGCAGCCGGTGTCCCATCGAGCGGCAGCGTGGAGGTGGAGCTTGAACGGAAGCAAGAGCCTCGGTGATAGGGTTTGTGTCTGGCCAACTCTCATGAGATGCGTTGACCTTGGAGGCTGCTGGACCTACGAGGAAGTCGACAAGCGGCCACTGCCAAGGTCGGCACAGAACCCACCTAGAGCAAGACCACTTGTAGCACCACGTAGTTTCCATGCAGCTCAAGCCTTCCTCACCTCCACCAGAAACTGCTAGCAGATTCCCGAAAATGCATAAAGCAAACCTTATGTGGCATACGACCTGGTTCCAAGCATCAAAGAGGGACGGCCGAATACGAGGCAAATGAAGGCTTACCTGCAGGAGTCAGGTTTGAAGGAGAGGAGAGAGGAGTCAGACAGACAGAGATTGAGAGGGTGATCAAACTACAGAGCTGCAAATCGAGCCAGAAAGCCAGCAGCTGCCTGTCGCAAAAGGGGCAGCCGCGGAAGTCAACAACCAGGAAGCTGCAATCAGTAAGCCGCAAGCTGGACATGGGAAACAGGAAACAGAAGCGACCACGCAGTACCTCCTCTTGCACCCACAAGTCGTTGCGCGCTGGTTTGCATTACTGCCCAAACGTCTCCGGAGATGCATTGGACATATTTGACGCTGAAATCGGGCAAGTGTGCAGGAGCATGTCGTTGCGTTGGAGGTGCTGCAGTCGCCTGGCACTTCCTTGGTGTTTGCTCGGGCTGGGGCGCCTCCTATGGTGGTCTTGGGGTTTGCTGACTGCGACCGTGCTGATGATGACTTGCATCCGGCCTGCTTGCTGATTCTGCCTCTGATGTTCTTGACTCTTGTTGCTGACTCGGACCCTGCCCGGTCACAAACTATGTGGTGTTCACTCCATGAAGCGGAAAGAAGCACTGCAGGGCAAGAGAAAAGACACAGGTCGTGACCGTCCAAAAGTAGAAGAGCCTTCTGCGATGACAAGACTCTTCCTTCGAGACGGCAGGCGAGGGTGGGAAACTCCCACGAAGCCTGCATACTGGGGAAACTTCAGCCAATCAAGTTGCCATGCAACGGCAAAGGGCGATGGAGCAGAAGCAACATGAGTTGCAAGAAGAACCATGGAAGAGCAACGCAGCGAAGACTATCACACTGCGCAGCCCCGTACCACTGGGAAAAGACAAACAATATCTTGTTGAGTAGCACGAGCTGTGTAGTTCAAAAAGAGCTGTTGAGCGCGACGGTGCACTGGCGAAGTTCAACCAGTCGGGCACCCTGGTCCCTCTGTCATGTGGAGGGCGTCGGGAGCAGAGAGCAACACTCCACGTCAACAAGTGGCCGTGAGGGAGTGGAGTCACTGGCAAATGTCAGGGTCACAGCGTCCCTTTTCAGCTTAGGGCGAAAGCTACTGGCGAACAAGAAAACTGCTCAAACACATTGAGAGTGAGACCAAGAATTCGGCGGTCGGCGGCGCCGCCCAGCACCCTGATCAACCCCAAAGGCATGCATCACACGCACCACAAGAGCCCACACCAGATACCAAGCAGCAGACGAACTGCCAGTGTCGAGGTCATGGCGCTATTCTCGAACAGGCTACCATTGCAGAGCTCCTAAGATTTTTTTAGGGAGCAGGATTGCATTGCAGAAGCACCCATGCCATCAAGGACGATCAAGGACGGTATGCAGAACATGCTGCGTAATCAAAGCAGATGCGGGGCATCAGAACAGCAGGGCGAGTAATAGTGATGAATGCCGCAGAACTGGGCCCACTAGGCAGGGCAATCCATAATGCTGCATACTGCATGTAGCCGCAGCATTCTCCCCCGTGAACACACGAGGATTCACTAGTCACTAGGTCACGAGGTAAGGTCTTGTCCTGGCAGGCGTCGCTTCTCATCCTGCAGAGGCCCGGTGCCTCCTAGGCGATCTTCCCTAGACTTGGCCAAGTCAGCTTTGTCTTTTGCCCCCGGTTCCCAGTCGTGTCCGCAGCTTATCTGATCAGAACGATCCGGGTCCTAGTTGGTCGCCGTAGCTGAAGAGAATGGCTCCGACCTGCTTCAGTGGGTGTGCTTTGACTGCATGATCCTGCATGATGGCATGTGTAGCTTCAACAGGCTTGAGACAGAAAGCTGTCACACCTCGTCGCGCTCCGTTTGCCTTGCATGCTTCAGTCAGGCGCTTCTCAATACCGTGCTCTGCCGGAGCTTTTCAAAGGCAATCGAGGCTGTTGGCGAGGGATCAAGAAGCAGATTGGAGAAGCGGCACCGGTCGCAGAACCTTGGCAGATCTTTGCTTCTGCACATGCTCGAGGGTCTTGAAAGCTGACCAGCTTAGGAGCCAGAGCATCCAGAGCCCCCTTCGGATGCGAGGGCCTCCGCAGTTCCACAGTTGAGCTGTCCAGGGCTGATTTCACGGAGCCAGTCTGCCGTCAGCAGCGATGCCCACGTGAGCGTCAGCGACGTCGAGCGGCCTACACTTCTGCGATCTGCCAAGGCTTCCGAGATGCTTCGCAATTTGGGTTTCGGGATGTTTAGGGTCTGAGCTCCATGCCCTGCAGAGGCGCTGTCTCCACAAGCTGGCGACCACGAGAAAGTTGGAGAGAAGATCGGTAGTCTACCTGTGAGCCCTCGGGACATTGACAGCTCTCTGGCTGCCCTGACGACAGCGACTTCAGAAGAAGTGGACGCGCACGAGGATGCCGGACCCCAAGTTCTCCTTTGCAGGGTGGCTGTTGAAGATGTGGCTCTGTGGCTTCCAAGGCCGGCTCGCCAACACAGAACCCATGGCCGACGTTTGGCTGCTGCAATGCGGTCGGGCCAAGCACAGCAACGCGGTCTCCGCAATGGGATTCCGACTGGATGTGGCATGCTTCTGCGCAAGTGGGTCCGGTACTTAAAGATTTCAGCCGCAAACAACGTCCACCTAGAGTCTGGCGTTGATGCAGGCCTAAAGCCTTGAATTCAAGGTGCTGGCCTTTGGACTGGCAGCAAACAAGCTGCCATTTTCCTGGGGAGCCAGCTGCACAACGCGGCTACTCTGGCGCAGCCCCACATTACGTCGTTGGCAGGCGCTGCAACAGATGCACTGCAGTCGGCTGCAGCTGACACCATGGAAGGCATCAGAGGCCCGCATCATGCAGAAGCTCCGAGTCAGTCGCATCGAGTGTACAGACCGTAGAGATACAGTATGACACAATCATGTAGTTATACAAACGTATAACTTTACGTGAAATGTCACAAACACTTCGTATTGTCTCATGAGTCCTGTCATCTTCCCCTTCCTGACAGCTCTCGGGCCACGACGGCCCCGTGCTTCGCGGGCAAGCCTGACGAACGGGAAGAGACGCGGGGATCTTCAGCCGCCTCTCCTGGTCGCGCCAATTCTTCCACCACTTCCTGAGATGAATGCCTTTGCACCGGAACAGCCTTGGCCCAGCATGGCTCCGGGACAGCCTCATGGATATCCAGGACCCAGGGAGCTTCCGGTCCTCTTTGGGGGTTCCCAGCCTCCCAGCCCTGGCGGTTCGCAAGGAGTGGTTCGGTTGCAGGTGCGGTGCTTCGGCTCGGTTCCTTTCGCTTCGGTGTTCGAGAAGCTTCCTGAGAACATGAGTGGTACTCCTTGCATATCAATATCAGCTGCTGCTTCGGCTTTGCCGTCGAAAATCGGTGTTTGTCTAGGTTTCGGACTGTCATAGCACGTGGCACCTCGCTGAAAACAGGGAGCCGGGACGGTCTGTGTACGAGAAGGGCCAGAAGAGCATACTTAGAGTCTCCTCACTTTACCGTCCCTTGGTGCCCATGCCGGCCAACTCCAACCCGTAAATGCAATGCACTCTCCACCAATGAGCAGGAAGTAGTGCCGCATGCTCTTAGCCACGAATTCTGCGCGAGCCTTGATTCTGAATACGGTCTCCTGCACAGAAAGGTAAGGTTTGCGCCATCAATCACTGAAGTTTCAAGCCTTCCCAGATTGTCAAGCAGCGTGTGGGGGAAGGACCAGCATCTCTGCCAGCTCCTTTTGTGCACGCACAGCCACTGGCATGGCCGAGAAGCCAGTCTTTCGCAACGTCCACTCCATGGCAGGGCAGTGGGGCACAGCACCTCGGACCTTCGATGCTCGGGACCTCTGCCCAGCTGCAGTCTGCTCCGGCCAGCTTCCACCTCTCGGAAGACACAAACGTTTGGGCGACAAATGGGATGTCTTGGGGCACACCCAGGCCTGGTCAAGCTCAAGCTCCTGTTGGGCCCATCGTGCGCCAGGCAACTGTTCTTAGAAGCACGCTGGGAGAGAGGCGGCCACTAACAGAGAGCCGCATCAGACCCAGCTGATGCTGATCGACTTCCGAATCCGGATGCCGAAGTTTGAATTCAGACCATCAAGGTATGGTTCAGCTTTATTTGGAGCTTCCTTTATGGGGATATGCTCATGATGCATTTCTTGCCTGCGGCGCCCGGAGACTCGAGGCAGTCCAGGCGAGCACAGCCGACAAACGCGCCAAACACCGCTGCATGATGCAGAAAGTCTTACGCCAGCCGTCTCGTGCTCGCGATTTCTCGTCAGGGTCGGTGGTCATTGCAGTGTGCATTTTGCGCTCAGGAGCAGCCCTTCGGGCTTTTCCGAGCTCAAGACACGACTGGCGGATTCAATTTCTGCTGCCCGCATCTCAGTCAAGTGAGGAAGCGATTTTGTTCGGCCGAACTTCTGTTTCCTAGGCCCAGAAATCCGGTGCACAGCTTCAACGCTGTGCCAGCTTCCCAGCTCAGCCACTGCGCCTGATCCGTAAAGACGAAGTGTCCAAGAATTCCAATCGACAAAACCTGGAAGTGAGGTGAATTACTTCGATTCGCACGAGCAGAGAGGCTTTCGGCGAGACGAGGGGAGAGGCATTTGGCCGCCGGAAAATGCCAGCATGACAAGAAGTGCTGCTTCGTCTCTAAATCTGCATTGCTGTCTCTCAGACATGTTCCAAGGTGCAGACTGCTGCAGCCCCGCTCTTGTACATGTTTCTGATTCGGCGTGTGTGCTGCAGGCAGTGCCAGATGGGAACTTGGTGTGCGCGCCACAGCTGCTCGAGCTTTCTGCTTTGGTGTTCGGCTGGGTGTCGGTGTTTGCGTCTGTTTGCGTTTTCCCAAGTAGCTTCACTGCCTCAGCGAGCAGGCAGCTGTGCTGGGCTTAAGCATCTTCCTGCTGCCAGCCGGAGCAAGGCCCCGAAATTGGAGCCGACGGAAAATCGCAGTTGCTGTTGAAATGCAGAAATCTGCAGAGTTGGTGGTGCCACTGACTGATCTGACTGCAGTTTGGATGGTACTTTGTGACTCAAGACGGTGTGTTGCTGCGCAATCGTCTCGTCCTGTTTCTCCAGGCAAACAATGTATGGTGGCTTCGTCACCGTGCTGGAGCCGCTTATGGTCTGGAGCACATGAGAAGAAGCTGACCGAGCTGGGTGCCACATCAATCGCTTATCGAGGCTACTGCTTCCTTTGTGGACCTTGGGTCATACCTCTCCCTCGGGACAGAGGTGCAGCGGCTTTATGCGAGCGACTCAGTGCAACGTCGATCAGAACTTGATCCATTTCTAAACCCAAGACTCCACACGGTGACATACACACGGCTCCCTACACACACGTCTGCGCGCGCATGCGCGTATTCTCGGAATGTGTGCATGCCTGTATTTTCTCCGTCCGCTAGCACCAGCACCAGCAACAGCAACAGCAAACACAAACTTGGACATCCGTCTCATATTCATTTGCCTCCCACCCACTCATCGTGCCACGCGGGCTGCAGAACCCCAGCAGACTGAAGCTAGTGATCTTCTATGTGACAGTGGCCATGGCAGCTGTCACAGTCGGTCTGAGTTTATCGACTGTTGACACGTGGGGCCAGAGTGAGGCCTTGAACATCCTTGTCTTGATCGTGTTGGTGGGGGTGGTGGGCATCTCAGAGGCTGCGAGGCTGTGGGCTGTGCGTTTTTGCAAGGACGAGGACACGGGCAGTTACTTGGGGTCGATCATTATGAAGGTTTGTTGACACGCCCCGGTTTATCCTGTGCCTGGCAGCAGGAGGCAGGCAAGTTGCAAACAAGTCTGCAGGTTTTTGCAAAAGTCCAGCTTGAGGTTTTCTCTGCCTTGCAAAGGTAGGCCAGTGCCCAAGCCAGATGATTACAAGGGTAGGCAATGCATTGCACACCTCTGCTGAGATACGCCGAGGTTCAGCGCGTTCGCGGAGTCTTAGCAGAAGCGCCAAATTTTCACCTGCGAATTAGTCGTAGGCTCGCGCCATTTGAAACACTGCATACTGCTAGTTGGTTGAACGGGAAGCAGGGCTCTGAGGTTAGCAGTACGGAGCACTTGAAAAGGTGTTCGTCGCAATATACATTATTGTTTTGATAAGGAGACGTGCCAGATGACGCGGTGCATCGTTTGTCAACCCTCGTCTGCATTGCAGACAAAGAGCATCAGTTGCATCAGTTTCAACATTTGGCCAAGTGCTCGACATGTACATTATGCTTCATAGGCGTTGGGAGGTGTTCGCAGCCGTCGACAGTGTGACGTGCGTGGACCAGTTCCCGGATAATGATTTTCGCTCCAGGCTCGAAGTACCAGACAAATAGTGCTACCTGTTGCTGATCTGTTGTTCGCTGTCGCATCTTTTGCAGGACATTCCAAGTTGGTCATGATGTGCAACACTGCCTGTCGCTGGCCTGTGCTCCAGCATAGACGTAGGAGTGTTCCGGGCCTGCACTTGGAACCCACAAGATCCCAGTTGCAGAAACCTCAGAAGCCTAAGTGTACTGGCAGGTAATAGGTTAAGGGCCCGTCGGCTTCCGTTCCAACAGTGGCGCGGCCCAAGATGGAGCCACGCTGAGCTGCTGCCGACGAAGGTTGGGTCGCTGTCAGGGTCTGCTTTGTGTCGCCAACATGAGACAGGACGTTGATGCCTGATGTCGCAGAGGCCGCGGGCCGTGTCGCAAGTGGGATCAACAGTTCTCTGCAAGACCCACGGAAGAACATCGGACGCCGGTAAACGCCATGACCCTCAGGCTATTTGCATCGACTCGGAAGAGGACGGGCAGTGCCTCGCCGCATCTGCAGTTCTCGGCCGCAGCCTTTTAAAGGAGCCTCTGCAGCCCCAGCCGAAACGGAAGAGAAAGAGGAAGCAAAATGCGCCTCAGATTGCAAAGGCCGGTTTAGGGTTTAGGGTTTAGGGTAGTGGTTTTCTGATCTGCCCATGAAGGAGCCGGTCGTGCTTCCAAGCTGCATCGACTTGGATGTGGAGGAGAAGGCACTTGACTTCCGTCAGAGGTTGTGCCGGTAAGATGCGGCACTTGCTTTTTGTGGGCAGGAAGCTGGTGGAGATCAACCAGTAGGCAAACACTTCCTGCCTAAGCGCGCATTCTTCCGGATCGACGTCGCTTGCCATGGCTGAGCCAATGACACATGTGACAACGGTACGCAGCAGGTGCCAGCGGCGAGAAGGCGACACCTTCACGCAGGATGTGTTGATGCTGGTAGGACTGATAGTCTGGCGACCTGTTGAGGTGCGTGAGCAGCCTGTTCACGTCGTGCAAGCCGTCTGTTTATCATCTGATGAGGAGGCGGGCTTGAGACCTCCACAGTGAAGGAAGAATTCTAACAGTTTGTGACAGGGGCCCGCGCTGCCCAAGCGCAGCCAGGAAGAGGCAACCTGTCGCGGAAAGCACTCACGGCGGGCAAGAAACAAAAAAGACCAGCAGGCCGCACGTCCGAGCGCGGCAGAGAGCGAGCTCGAACAACGGGCTCAGGAGCAGAGCAGCGCATTCGAGCATGCGGCGCATATCCAGGTCTCGATGGATGTTGTGCGTATAGAGGACCTGGCCGATGTGGCGCTGCAGAACCTTGCACCCGCTGCACGAGCAGCGCGGTTGGTCAAGGTACATGTAGTGGTCAGTCAGCCGCCCGTCGACTCGGTTCTTGTTTGTCGCAGGTCAAGCACAGCATTCTTGCTCGCCTGAGAAGTCAAGCAGAGACGGGCAGTCGTGGCCTCATCGCCCTATGGCCCTAGCAGTATCATTGCTGCACAGTCAGGTCTTCCGAGCCTTCCAGATCCGAATCCTCGCAGTGTGCTTCCAGAAGAAGCGCCAGTGCCAGTGCCAGTGCCACCGCCTCCGCCGCCGGAGGAGCATCAGGGAGATCACAACTGAGCCCTAAGTCCTTAAGTCCTTAAGTGTGTGACAAGCCTTGCTCCGCTTTCGCAGGAGCCCAAGCCCTTGGCCACACAGCCATATCCGCAAAGCAATGAGCTGATCCAGCAGAAGCAGCGCCTGCAAGACTGGCTGGAGCGAAACCAGGAAAGGTTGCAGCAAAGGCTGTTTCGAGCAGAGCAGCCCCTTGGCCAGCAGAGACTGTCCGAAGTCGCGCCCGCCTTTGTCACGGCTTGGCAAAGGCAGCGCCTGGAGGGGGCGCGGTTGCGCGAGGAGGCAAGGCAGAAGCGCAAGGCCTCGGAATGAAAACCGTGTCAAGTAACCGCCATCAAGGAATCAAGGCCTGTGTCGGTCCTTGATCTGCCACAGTTTCGTGTGCGTTCCGTCCGCCATGTAGCTGAAGGTTAGACTCGAGTAGCTTTCGCTCAGCTGGACCTGGATGAATCGTTTGGCTGTATTCTGTAGAAAAATCTGAAGTGCTACAGAGCTGTACAGGCTCTGTGGACCACGCCGGAAGCTGAAAAGGCCGGAAGCGAAGCAAAAGATGGCAGGCGGGAGCAGCGTTCTCGGAGAAGGATGCTTTTCAGCATGTCCCTAGATTCCCACGCTCTTTGTCGGTAGGCTCACAGCAAATGGCTGGGAGAGCAGCCAGTTTCACAACAGCAAGGATCGGATTGTGAAAGGCTTGCGCTTCATGGTTTAGCAGTTAACCACCTCGCCAATGTCGCACAGGAGCGAACGAAGTTTCTTCGCTTGATGGGCGGGCAGAAGTTTGTGGAAGCCGCGAAAGCTCTGGCATCATGGTTGCATACAGCCACAGGGATCTGCAGTGGTCTTCGGCTCCTGAACCAAGGAGGCTGGAGTAGATGACGACCAGGTCTTTGAGCTGATTGCAGGGGAGTGGGTTCAAGCGAAGGATGACGAAGAGGAAGAGGACATGCGCTTGGGTCTTTGGGACCTGTAGCTGGAGATGCTTGAGCTGCTGCAAGGAGTTTGAAGTCAGCGCCGATGCGCCCACGGTCGAGCTGTTGGCAGGACACGTTGAGCTTGTCAAGCCCCTTTGAAGAGGATTTCCTGTAGTCGTTGGGTGGTGCGAACTTCATCGTGGCAGGAGAGTGGGTGGACGTCGGCGCAGAGGCGAAGGTGCGAGAAACTGACTGCAAACTCGAAGTGGAAAGTCTCATCGACGAGGCCTCACCTGCACTTGATCACCAAGACCGGGAACAAAACCTGGAAAGGCCTTCGCAGCACCCTGTTTTCGAGAGTGGACGTCAAGCGCGAAGCTCGACCAGGCAGTTCCTCGACGGGATGTCGAGACAGCTAGGCGAGCGACGCCTTGGGCTTGGCGCCTGACACTGGCGCAAAAGGGGAGGGCACATGGTCACAGTCCCAGCTGCGAGTGCAGTCAATCGCCATTCTTTTGCTAGTTGGCTCCCCATAACCATAGCAGCGCAAGGTCTGTTCATGATTGGATTGATGTTCGCAATATGCCGGACACAGCAGGAGCAGCCACAGGATGCGAAGTTGTCACTTGCTTTAACTCGCCGCCATGCTTTAGAAAGCCTAGAGCTTCCAATGGGTCAGGAGCTCGTCTGCTGTTTGCTGAGCATGTGCGTGCCTACAGCTCGCACACTCAGGGGCTATTTGCACACGGCTCGATGTCGTGTCACTAGCTGCTGAGTACACTCAACAGGACAGGGGTGGCTAGAGCGAGGGCAAGCGAAGACTTGGAAACTGAGCTCTTCTTCGTGGGTTGGCAATTCCAAGTCGGAGTGCGTGGAAATGCCTTCAGGACTTCTCCAGCCGGCCCAGTTCAGCACCCAAGTTCCAATGCGGACAGGACCTGCACATGTGTGTGTGTGTGTATGGTGTGTGTTTGTGTGTGTGAGAACGGAGCAAAGGACCGAATTGGGAGCTTGGGTCCATGCTGACAGCGATGCAAACCCTTTTGCTACATCTCTTTCTTAGCATGTCATAGCTGTCAATCATGCAAAGGGAACGAAGACTGCAACAGCCGATACTGGAGAAGCAGTGAATCGCGGCATGATCTTGGAAAGGTGAAAAAGGGTGGATGCAGTTTTACTCGCGGGCGGGGAGCTTTCTAGTGGGTTGGAGAAAAAGCTGGTGGTTTGTTGAAGCACGATTTTTTTTTTTAGGGTTTAAGATTTTGCCGAACGACAACATCCAGCATTAAACCACAGACCCCAGCCTGAACCTCGACCCCGAAGCCTCGCTTATGTCCACAAGGATCAAGCCAGCGAACCATTTGGGTTGCTGTATCAATAACAATAACAATAATAGAAATTAATAGTAATACTAATAATAATAATAAGACTAAGAATAAGAATAAGAAGGAGAATAATAATAATAATAACAATAATAATAATAGTAATAATAGTAATAATAATAATACTACTAATAATAATAATAATAATAATAATAAGGTGCCGTCTCGTTTCCTTTTCTTGTCGTCTTGGGAGGTCTCTTGCGGGACGTAATATAAGTAGGCTCAAGCTCACGGAGAGGGCTTGGGTTCCCGTTCGAGCCTGGGAGTATAAAGGGTTTAAGGTTCTGGGATGTTTAGGCCTTGGGGTTTCGAACCTCAGTGATTTCAACAATTTCCAACACCTCTGAGCTAAAGACTGCAACAGAGACGAGCCCACGTAGACAGCCTCAGGTTGACCCCGGTAATTTGGGAGGTTGGAAGAGGTAGTTCAGGGTTTAGGGTTCACAGCTAGTACAGAACGGAGGCAGAGGCACAAGTTCGCCTACCACCGACCATGGCCATGAACGATGGCAGTATGTCACACCTACCTGCCAAAGGTCCTCTGTACATCTCTGTACATCACGTCATGCAAATCACTGCAACAGCGAACCCGACTGACTCGGCCTGCATCATGTCCCGGTAGGTAGGACTGAGATGCTGCAAGCCACAACAGCATGCGGCATCGAATGTAGCCGGAAAGCCAGCACTCGCAGCGTGCTGTTTGCCACTTTGAAGACATGACCCACAACGGACAGGCGCCTAGGCCCTCTTCCGGATTGCTATTGCAAGAACCTTCAGGGATCAAAATGCAGGAATCCCTCGACACGAGTTTCGCAAGCAAGCGACTGCTAGAAGCCCGAGGCTCACAGAGAAGCGGGGCGGCCTGATGCCTGCTATCCAACAGACCTGCCAAGCAAAAAGGCGAGTCCAAGTATGCCCACAGAAAGCAACAACCATGCGTAAATCAGACGCACGGAGCGATTCAGACAAGAACCGTGTGTTCCTCCAAATCTCAATTTTCTGGTGTGCGAGTGTTGATAACTCGTCCGGTCCGCAATTCCCAACTGGTCGAGGGAGGGAGCAGTGTGTCACAACGAGTCTCCGGCCTTCGCTCTCCTCATTTCACGGGCGTCCCGCCCGTGTTTCTGTGGGAGCCTCCTAGCATCGGTGTCCACCAGGACTGCTCACACGGCCAAGGCTGCAGCACGTGGAGTGCTTGTGGCTCAGGAGGAGAGCTGATGCTTTTTCCCTTCGGGACCTTGAATCCTGAAGTTCCTCCAAATGTTCCTGGTCCACCCTGATTCAGGTCTTGTTGCGCCATGATGACTTCCACGACGAGGCCCGTATGGAACAGCTGGAGACTTGACTATTGCGCCTAGTGATGCAGGCTGCTGCGCCAAGTGAATCTGACTGGGCGGTGGGCGCCCAAAGCCTGAAACGCCGTTTGTCGGCGCACGCAGCTTGGGTGCTTGTGCATGAGGTCGCACCGACTCACCATCACTTTGCCATCTTGCACGGGTCACCAGGCACCAAAATCTTCTATGACGTGCCGTGCATGCCTGCCTTCGTAAAACTGTAGACATTACAGGTCACAGAGTTCACGCCCAATACTCACAGGACGGCCAGTCTCCAGCTGGCGGAGTCGTTACATTCTTGGGCGTGAGCTGGGCTCCGGGCAGACTGCCAGTGTTTTCGAGGCTCGCCAGGTCTGCTTCATGGAGCTTGGATTCGGGGTACCGACTGGCAGGCCTCGGCGGCTCCCAACGACGCTGTGCAGGGCCACCGGTCGGAGGCATCCAATCGCATGTGGCACTTTCCGCCTCTCAGGCCGCCTCCGAGTCCACGCCCAGGCAGATGCACCTTTGGGGGCACGCTAGTGCCCCCAGGACGGAGACCTCGCTTGTGCCTTCATGCCTTGCTAGCCACACAGGCGACGAGAGATGGGGTGGATCAAGCCCTTCCAGTTCTCCTGGGCGGAAGGTAGCGCCCGGAGCCCCTGCACTCTGCGGCCTGCGTTTCGCAGCGGGCACCACTGGACTCTCAGGTTAAAGCGTTTCCACCGACAGCGAACTACCATGTTCAAGGTGGAGCAAAAGGCAATGCAGGGAACGCCCTGCTCCTTTGTGCTCGACATAGTAGTCAGTCTCTTGCTGACAGTTTTGGAGGCTCTACTGGCATCCGGCGTGCACCCCAACGTGATCAGGCTGCTTGAAAGCTTCGAGGTGGCCTGACGAAAGAAGAACTGCTGGAGCAGGGAGTCATGCAACCCCCCTGAATTGTAGATCCGACAGCAACTCTCACCCACATCCGCAATTCGGTTCAGCCGGGGTAGGGTGCAGCGGGAATCTCCAGTCACAGCCGATAGGACAGTTGTCGGGGCGAGGCCGCGGGGAACTCTTCGACTTCTCGGTTTCAAATCATCATGTTGGGCAGTGCCCGCATAGGCAGTCGTGCTGAATTTCACTGTAAATCCACTGTCAGCCCGCGAGTCAGGTCGCGGGCCTGAGCGAGAAGCCGTATGGCTTTGTCATGGCATATGTCGAGTCCACAAAGACCTGAATATGTCGAACAACCCTGCAATCACTGACAGGGGGGGAACGAAGAGGATGCCATCGTACTGGAACATTGCGACCTGGCTAACATGCGCGAGTTCTTGAGCTTTTATCATTTGTTTGTCCACTCTGCTGATTACCCAGATTTACACCGCACTCAGATTGCAAGTCAGCCCAGGTGAAGGTGGAGACATCTACGAGCTCTATGCGTCAAGCAAAGGGTGCCTGTATGGACGCTTGTAGGCACCCTTCGATCAACATGCGGCCATGCTTGGACATGCGACAGGGGCTGCATGGAGGAAAAGTTCGTCGCGCAATTGATTCACCAACTGCTGTTCATCTGGCATGTCCGTTCTCACTCAGGAACTCCCCAAACTAGGGTGCTACAGAATCGACGCTGTTTCACGGCCAGGCAAGCGTTGCAGCACCTGCTCTCGACTTAGCCAGGGCATTGACATTGACGGAAGCTTGCTTGCAGTCGACAATTTCGTATCTGGTTGCAACTTGTCAGGGTGGAGCGGGGCATCGAGCATCGCGATGCCTGGAGCCTACACCGTGGCCTCTGCGACTTGTGTTTTGTGATTCCGAAATTCCTACTGCGAATGAGGTAAAGCCAGAGAACCTGCTGTTGTATGCTGGCCAAGAAGCAGAGAAGAAGCAACAGGTGGCCCACTAGCAGTGTTGCTGCCAGGGTTGAGCTGGTTTACCATGCCAGGCACCGCTCATCAAGCTAGCCGATTTTGGCTGGGCTGTGATCGAATTTCGGCTGCGTAGCCTGACTTCATTTCACCGCGGCAGTTTTTCTGACTTAGGTGGATCGGCCTGCGCCGCCGCCACACATCCCTGCAGAGGGGGTCGGATCGCACCCTCTCTGCAGATTTGGCACTCGCAAGGATGTCTAATGAGTCTAATGCCTGCAGAGTTGCGTGCCACGATGCAAGGCTGTGGTACGCGCCGCCGGAGCTGCCCGTGTCTGAAATGTGCTGGGGAGAGGGTTCATGCGATATATCGAAGCATGCCGAGGAATCCGCCGGTGAAAGGAGCGGAGATCGTGAGTGACGAGCTTCATGCAGGTAAGAGCGACATGTGGAGGTGCGAGACAGTCCTTCCAAGCGCACAACGTCCTTCTGACATCTGAATGGTGATCCAGCTTGAATGCCAGTGTTGGCATCATCGCTTACCTCCTTCTGACTGGCTGGAAACTTGTCCATGTGTGCGGATTACCATTGTGTTCATGTCCGTGTCATTATTTCGGGTTGTGAAGTCGCAAAGGTCACAGCCCTTTCAACAAGGCGTTGGTTCTCAAGAATCCTGAGAAAAGAGAAGCAGAGGCGAGAGGCTCTCATCTGCAGCAGAGGGTAGTTGTGGAGAAGTGCCAAATTGTTTCAAAGGTGATTCGATTGGCGGCCTTTGGTGACATCAATACGTCTACGAAGGCTCGTGCTTGACACATGCTTTTGTCTTGGTGACACCTTCCTGCTCTGGAATACTTGAAGCAGGCTTGGAACATGGATCTGTCTGCTGCGGCTCGGGATTTTATTCTTGCCCTCGTTCGGCCAGATCCGGCGATGCCCTAATCAGCTTCATGAAGCAGAATCGTTGCACCAGCTCTGCCTGTCGAGTTGTTGTATTTGAGGCAAGACGATTGTCGGCATCAGCTGCCCTCCACCATGCCTTCATTGCTACAGCATCCCCTCCAGACCTTTGCGGAAACTTCAGGCGACGCAAGCCGGAGCGGATGATCGATCCTGTTCGACCGTATTTTGCATGGCCGCAGGCTTTGTGCGCACCAGGCACTGCTCGAGAATGTGCCCATGAGGCTCACCTCGGTTTCTTCCAACCATGTTAAGAAGGGTTAGTTGGCGCGACAAATTCATTAAGGGGAAGACTTGGTTTCATGATGACCATCATGGGCACCCTTGGACATGTAAGCATTAGGCACAGTGAGCAATCCCGAAGAAACACCAACGGCGAGAGACAGCTTTTCGGTTGAAGCTGGGATCCGAATGGATGCACCGATCCAGCGAAGGTGACACCAAGCCAAAGTAGCTTCTGGAGCATGCGTCCAGAACTTAACAGTGTACGTATGATTTCTAGAGTGATCTTTGATCGATGGCCACGACGATGGAGGTACTGTTGTGATACAGCGACTAGCGCAACCTAGAACCACTGATGTTAGATGGCGTGTTCATAATGCTGGCTGAATATGTCGCCCATGACGGTGATGGAAAAACCGGGAGGAACGCAGGCCCGACACCAGCCAGAAACCTTCAGTGACATGCCTACCCCGCAAAAAATTGCAGTCAGGCGAAAAAGCTCTGTTGTTAGTTGATTGCAGATCCCCTTCGACGGACGGTATCAGCAGTTCGAACTGCCATGTGGCAGGTGGAACGGAATGGACATCTTGCAGCGCCTGTGTAGCTCAGCTGAGCACCGACACGCAGTGTGGTAGTCTGGCAGATGAAGCCATGAGAGAAGCTCGAGAGCTAGGGTCGTTCAAGAGACGCTGAGCGCCGTATCACAGGTGGGACGTAGTCCTGCCTACAGGAAGCTGTGGAATGTTCTTGAGGCGAGGCCTCTACTTAAGTTAGCAACTTCATGCCGATATGATGTGAAGAAAGCAGATGGAGGGTCTTCCGACAAACAGCTGCAAGCGCCCCGCCCGAGGTTGGCTTGCGATTGCGAGAGCCGTCGCCGAGCCTGAGCTAATGGCCGTGGATCGCATGCAGGAGCCAGTCTGCACACTCTGCCACCGCACATGACCCCTGGCCTCCAAGTTCCCGAAGAAAGACTCTGCACCAGGATTTCGTGCGCAACGAGGGAAGCCGTGCTGGATATGTGGAACGGCTGGCCATGGAATTGGCAAGGACCTCAAGATGGCGAAGTTCCTGGATGCTGAAACCACGTTACAGTATCGAAATCGTATGACCATCGTACAAAACATTGTCTCATACACTTCCGTACATGCAGCTAGCAGTTATGGGGAGAAGGCCTGGCAAAGAGGGTTTGGTTGCTCATGCGTGATGTTGAGACGATGGTGCTGCAATCAGGAAGACACTGCCAGAGTGTACCATGTTGTGAACACACGAAAGTAAGCTGTGCATCGCCAACCTTTGCTTGATCATGCGTTTTGCAGCAGAACCTGTTAGGAGCAGCCATGCGAGTTTCTACTGAAGTACAAAGGAGACGCACGAATGTACATGCATCGGGCACGAAAGCCTCGTGCAATCGAGGCTGGAATTTCTCGTGGCTTTGCAGACTTCCGCCCTTCAGATTTGTTTTGCGGAATCCTTACCTCGAATCCTCTGGCGAGAATGTACGTCTCGGGGTACTGGCTACGTGGGCTGAAATCACGTGGGTCGACGATGTCCGAAGGGCAACCTTGCCGATTGCGGTTCCCTTCGACGTGAAGCCACTTGCATGGTGGAAGGTGCAGTATTTCAGTAAGTCAGTAGGCTGCTCCTGGTCCGAGACCGGTGATGCCTTGCTCTCTGAACTTTGGAGCTTAGCCTCTTGGATGTAGGTTCGACCGACAAGTACAAGGAGAGTACATGAGTGCTCTCAATGAAGTGGGGGATGCCAAAAAAAAAGTGACTGGTTGAAAGCTGCCGCTTCAGCGTAGATCCTCCCAGGTTTCTGTGGCATCCCCTTCCTGGTTCACCTCGCAGGCCGGTCTCGGGTCTAGGTGGGTCAAGCGCTTTTTCTGTAAGGGTTCTACATTGCCAGGCTGTGTGGACGGATGTTCTGTACCTCGCTTTCTTGTACCTGGACGTGGACTGCGATGGATTGCTGAGCTCGGATGACTTGAGTGTTCATCTTCCAGGCGCCGCTGCGCTGTTCCGTTCTGATGTTGATTTGGGCTGATACTGAAGTGAAAGGGAGTGGGAGATTGCGACAGCATCTGCAGATCAACATCGTTCAACAGAACCTTCTTTACCTCGGACCTCAAACATCAACCACCTTATTAGCCCTGAACCCCTGACCGAACGAACCCTTCACACCCTGGAGCGGTGGGAGACACAAGCTTGATCTATCTTGATGTGAACGGCGACCATCAAGGTCGTTAACTATTGGTGCACATCTGCATATGCACTCATGTCAAGTATGTCAAGTTGTCTTTCAGATTGTGGAAACCATGCAGACATCAGTCATGTACACATGAGCGCTCACACACTGCCACACAAACCTTGTTTTCCATATGACGGAAAACTAGATGCAGATGCCCAAGCTACGACGCATCGTCCAGGGCGCATCGTTTTCTTTTCGCAGGTACAGGAAACTGCGTCCAGTTTCCCTTCCAGTCTGTTCCCATAGATTCGTTGGCATGGCTAGGGAAAGACCTCTATGCATCCTGCGACTGTTGTACTGTGGAAAGTTTTTGGAAGCAGGCAAGAGTTGGCGGCACACTTTTTTGAAGACGAGGAAAAGAAAAGCAAGATGGACATGCATGACACTCTCAAGCACATGTGGTCAACGTGCAAACATTAAGAAAATCGTCGACAATCTCAATCATGCCCGATCGAGGTGCAAGGTTTGTCGCATGTACAGCAGAATTGACAAACAGGCTCTTTTGTCCGCCATGTTTGCATCTCTTCGTTTCCCAGAGTGCTCACTTGGAGGCGACCGCCGTTCGCGGGAGTCCTGGCATGCTTTCGGCTTAGTCGTCCGCGGTTGCGCAAGCATCTCATGGAGTATAAAGTGGAGCCTGCATACAATTCGTCCAAGGCGTCTATGTGCAAATGGCGCAACCAGCAGGTGCTGCCAGGAAGAGAGAGAGAGAGAGAGAGAGATATAGCGAGAGGGAGAGAGGGAGGTGGTAGAGAGAGAGAGCGAGAGAGCGAGAGAGAGTGAGAGAGCCTTGAAACGTAGTTTGGGTGCTCGTCGGAGGTGCCGTCACCAAGCCAGTCCACGTTCTTGACATTTTCGGATTTCCGCGAGGTGGCGACAGACATTCATCAACCGATTCTTCAGATGTTGATTGGTGGACAAGCTGTCAGAGTTGATGTTGTGGCAGGCTGTGTGCTCGGCTGCCATAACATCCTATTTCCCTCCGCTCGTCCAGTGCTTAATATGACCGGATGCTGAATGAGAGCCGAGCAGATTGTTGAGCTGCTCGAAGGAGAGCCATCCGCCTAGTGCTGGAGCGGCGCCAGGAGCTCGATTCTCCCCGGAGGGTTTGTTGCCCGCTCACTGAGAAATGGCAAGGTCCTGTGATGTGGCTTGGCTTCAGCGCATGGAAGCCATCGAGGAGGCTCTGCTTCTTCAAAAGCTGCTGCAAATAAGGATCGCGATTTGCACGATGAGTTTATTGCAGGTGTGTCGAAGGTTCGCTGACGCAGAGATGCAGTAGCTCAGTAGCTGCTTGCAAAGCCTGGTGCAGCTGCGCGCGGTCTCACCGGTGTAGAGGCTCAAAGACAGCCAACGACAAAGTGATTCTGCCCATGCGCTGCCACCGCCTCTCCCGAGATGCACAAGGGAAGATGCTCTGCCGGTGTTCTCATCGTCTTGCAGGGACTGCCGCTTCGCAAATGTGCCGCGCTAAATATCAAAGACGGCGCCGAGAGTCAGCAGCTAAGCCTAGGTTCAGATTGTAGCGAGATTTGATGAAAACTGCAAGCGGCAGTTTGTTAAATTTCGTTGGGGATTGCGTGTGCGTTTTGCCGGCAGCCTTAGCTTGCTTGACAAAGTGTCGGTCACACAACACATGGCCCCGCACAGCATTCTGAGCATGCGGATCTTCCGATTTTACTCTGAAGCAGTCCCTATGAGAAATGAGCGAACAGTTTGCTGCACAAGCTGTAATTTAAAGTGCCAGGATGTGTAGGAGTCTGAACGCTCTGATTCCTAGCGTTGCAGCATGTTGCAACATTGGTGGCTTTCCCTTTTTTTGCGGACAGCCCCCGTGCAAATGGGCCGTCACAGGCCATCCCACCGACACCTTCGTAAAACACGGGGTGGTTTGCGATTAAACTTTCACATCCGTGATGTTAACGTTCAACACGGCCCCGAAGGCATCTTTGTACTTGGGCCTCGATGTTTTTGTATCGCAAGCATCTTCTCCTCGGATCCATGGCCTTCCGAACCTTGGCAAGGTTTCAGCGGGCTTTTGGTGGATGGGGTGTTGACCCAGATCGAGATGCGGTAGCCTTTGCCAGTGGCACGGAAGGTTCCATTCCTTTAGTACCGGTGTATCCACGAGCCAGGGCATCAAACATCGACAAGTCAACAAACTCTTGATCACATGTTATGTTCCATAAGCAAGACTGCTGCTGCTGCTTCCGGTTGCTGCCACGTGATGGCAGTAGAGGCTGACATTTCCGAACTCTTTGAAACACGGGCTTCTGTTGACACACATACTACTGGTATAAGAGCTCTGTTGTTACAAATTGCTGCCGTATTGCAGGTGGAGGACGTGCCACTCGATAGCCCAGGCGGTCGTCAGTTGCTCTCTGCAATACAGTACAGTACAGTGTCAGCTTAGTTGCGCATCCCGCGGAGTGAATTTTTGCTAAAGGATATTCCTCGTGCAAGTGGACTTTTGTCAGGGCCTGCAGCTGCTCGCCAGAAAACTCACGAGGAAGGGGGAATCGCAGGCAAGCCCAGTCACTGTCTGTAACACCGACAACCCGAATGAGGTGCATGGGAATACCCACGTGGGCACAGTGGCAAGAGGGGCCATCGAGACTTAGTGGGGTTCCGGTCAGGGCCTGTGATGCAGCAAAGCCGGAAACCAAGTGCTGGAAGCACGCTCGACTAAGGTGCACTCTACAAAATCGTCTGCGGCGAGCGCCTGCTGCAGGGCGACGAGCGAGTCTCGACCCTGCAGCAAGACATCACCTTGCCACGTATACTTTCAAGCCATGACCGCAGTCTCATTCCCGGTAGCTGGTAGCCATCATGCGGCCAAAGCCGCTCGATGAAATGACCTATGAGGAAAAGCTGGCGTATCTTCGGTTTCTGCGAGCACAGCAAAGGAAGAGGGAGAAGCAGGACCAACCAGGGTGAGGTTGTAATTCGCAAGCTTCTAATGATTCACCGTGGGTAGTTTCGTGATGCTTCATGTCTCAGGCACAAGTCTTCCGAAAAGTTCTGTCGTGTTGGGTCACTTCCTGAGATCCGAAGTCTCCGCCGGCTTGCGCTTTTTTCGTGCTCCCTTATGGTCCAGGTTCGTGATTTGGCTGACTCGTGGACGTGCGGACTGTGCAGCCGATCTTGGGACCCGGTGTGGGACAACGGCCTGCGCAACTGCAGGGCTCGACTGAGGCAAGCGGTGTACTAGAGCATGATGCGGTGGTCTGAAGAGGCACCGTTATGCTGTGAGGCGTTTGCATCGCCGCTGGTAGAGGTGTCTCCAAAATTTAGGCAGGGATCTTGTGTGTGCATCACTCTTTGTGTCGACCTTTGTTAGGCGGGGTTTGGAGGCCACTTTGGTTCATGGTCCGTTCAAAACCCCACTCCTAGCTCCCTTGCTGCCTGCTGCAGATGAGACGCTCTGGCCGTGTCGAAGGTTCACTGACGCAGAGATGCAGTAGCTCAGTAGCTGCTTGCAAAGCCTGGTGCAGCTGCGCCCGGTCTCACCGGTGTAGAGGCTCAAAGATAGCCAACGACAAAGTGATTCTGCCCATGCGCTGCCACCGTCTCTCCCGAGATGCACAAGGGAAGATGCTCTGCCGGTGTTCTTGGTGTTCTCAGCGTCGTGCAGGGACGGCTTGCTGCGCTAAGCCATCAAAGACGGCGTCGAGATTCAGCAGGTTCAGATGGTCAGATTGTAGCAGGGATGGGGTGATAGCAGCAAGCGGCAGTTTGTTAAATTTCGTTGGGGATTGCGTGTCGGTTGTGCTGGCAGCTGTGGTTTGCTTGACGTTTCGGAAATGCAGGCAGCAGCCCTTCGAGAGAAGAAGCTCTGCAGCTCTTGGGGCTCCAACGGAGCGGGCTAGACTAGGCTAGACTAGTCAACTTCTGATCGCTTGACAGGCCGTCGGTTTCCGAGCTCGTGGATCCTTGTTGGCTACAATTGTACATGTTTGTTGTAAGAAAACCCAGTAAAGATTAAAAATATCATTTTAAACATAACCCCAACAGGGAACCAGACTCCCCTGCGTCCTTGTCGGTCTGTCAACTCTACTTCTGCTCCATACTGTCCTGGCCTCTCGTCGCTGCAAGACCAACAAATGCACGATGTCTCACACTCAAGGCACATCCACCCGACAGCAGCGGCCTTACATACGTTGGGGAGGTTGTGATCACACTCCAGACCGTAGCTTTCTGAGCCCAGTCGAGAAGTCCAGGAGGGGAGTTGTAGGTAACCGCGGACGACTCAATCACCCATAACTACAAAGTTGAAGAAGTCTTACCAACCAACGGAAGCCAGAGCAGAGGGGTTTAGGGCTCGATCTGCGATGAAGCCACAGCCTGCATTTCCGGGTCGTTGCGGTTGTAGTTGGAAACACATGCAAGACAGTCACCTCAATCAGAAAGACCTTGCTGACGCTTTTGGCTCGCAGCACCATATGGCGCCGCAGTTCGCTTGTGCAATGTGGTTTTCCGAGCACCACTGCCAAAGGCTTGGCTGGCAGCTTGCTTGCATTCTGGGCAGGTTATCGTTGCACGGCCGGAGTGGTAAGGCGTGTCCGATGAACAGCTCCAAGCATCGCCCAAGCATATCACACACGTCTCAAGTGTCCTGGTTGTGTACCAATGTAGTGTAACTACAGTGTAACATATTTAAGGGTGTGCCATACGCACAAAAAGATGCGACTCTCGTGGAGGCGGTCAGGACTGGCCATGAAAACAGCGTATGATGTAGGATGCGCCAGTGCATGCTGTGCGGCATGAGTAGGTATATGTGCATGTCATTCAACATATGCGCATAGCTGAGAAGAGATTGTAATCCAGAAGTCGGTAGGACTTCGGCCTTGAGCAGACTGTTTCGAAGGAGTGAGGCGAGCGTGCGAGATTCTCTTGAGTCTTGATACCGGTATGTCCATAATGTATCACGCCGCCTGTATGTGTGCATTCACGCATGCAGTCGTGCATCTAAGCCGTACATGCAAATGTGCGACTGAATTCCAAAAAAAGATAAAGAACGATAGTTAGCTAGAGTCCAGGAGATGGACAAATTAGATAGGTAGTAGATAGGTAGGTAGATAGGTAGATAGGTAGGTAGATGGGTAGGTAGATAGATAGTAAGAAAGGTAGAAAGGTAGATTCATAGGTAGATGCACACATTTGTTGAGAGGTCGATAAATAAGCATATTGTATGTGTATGCCTAAAACATGCTTTTATGTATAGAGAGAGGGAGAGAGAGAACCATCCCCCTGCATCATAGCCCTGGCGACAGAAAAGAGAGAGTCAGTTACTGTGTGAAGATTCATGTTCACAGATATACAGGTGTATAAATATGTGCACATGCGTACATTAGCAAATATGTGTCATATGTGTGCGTAGAGATGCATGCACGCAAAGTAAGTATGTATTGAAGTACCCAGGCACGTACATATGCATGCAAGTATGCATGTTCGTGCATTTCTGCATGTATGTATGCATGCACGTATGTATGTACGATTATGTATGTATGTATGTATGTATGCATGTATGTATGTATGTAACTGTATGTAACTGTATGTAACTGTATGTAACTGTATGTAACTGTATGTAACTGTATGTAGCTGTATGTAACTGTATGTAACTGTATGTAACTGTATGTAACTGTATGTAACTGTCTGTAACTGTCTGTAACTGTCTGTAACTGTCTGTAACTGTCTGTAACTGTATGTAACTGCATGTAACTGCATGTAACTGCATGTAACTGTATGTAACTGTATGTAACTGTATGTAACTGCATGTAACTGTATGTAACTGTATGTAACTGTATGTAACTGTATGTAACTGTATGTAACTGTATGTAGCTGTATGTAGCTGTATGTAGCTGTAGGTAACTGTATAACTGTACGTAACTGTACGTAACTGTACGTAAACTGTAGGTAACTGTATGTAACTGT